TGGAATTGTGTTGAATTTGATCATTCTTTTGCAAGTATCCACGTTTCGCGACCTCCTGAACCCAAATAACGGAAAAAATCCGTGGATTGTGTGTGTTTCATTTAATATCTTAGGATGGAAACGACATTTGGCACAGTAGCTTGTATCTAAGAGACATCGATGCTATTAAATTTGTTGTGAAAGATCGAGGGGATGGAGATAGAGGGTTTGTCGCGTCATATCTCAAGTCCGACCACTCTCGAGATTTTGTTAGCTTGTTTTTATTTTTTTTTAAAATAATTTTAAACGTAGACACTAGTTGATAAAACTAGTGTCTCAACATCTCAACAAAATCTCAACAGATGGCGCCACGCGCTATCGATAATTAATAATACAGTAGAGCGTCGATTTTCCGAAAGTCAATCATCTGAAAGAATTNAAATTTAAACTATGGAAAAGAAAAGTAAATGAAGACAGAGGAAAGGATGTTTCCCCTTGTTGCAACAGTGTTTAACTTCCAATAGAGTTGATTTTTCTAGAGTTATGAACTCTATTTTTGAAGAACCTTTATCACAGTTTATCACCTGATTTGAGAAATATTTTCAAAATGATAATATTGATAAATTTGCATGGATTCAAGTTCTATTTAATGCCAGTGCTCCATCTGAATTTACTGCTGCAAAAGAAGAGAATCTTATTGAGTTGTCTTGTGACAATAGACAGTATGTTGAAAACAAAATTTAGCAGCATGGAATTAACTGAACTTTGGATATCAGTAAAAAATAAGTACAGTAGACCCCCCTATAACATGGTAGATACATTCCGTGTTTTATGAATTCCATGTTGTATGAGTCATTTAAATACATGAGCCAATCACAGCCCGGCACGTGTGCAGTTTAGGAACTACGGCTGTTTGAAAAGTTTTCTTCCATAAAATTAATTGATTCTAGACTAATTTGAATCAACATTTCAAAAACACGTATAATTTTTTTGAAATAATCCATATAAACTATGCTATAAACAAAAAATTATAGGATTACTTACCAAGTGTGCACTGTTTGACGATGCCATTGCTTAAGCTTGTTTTCGTCGCAGAGCGGCGCATCAAACGGCAGGTGCGTGTTTTCTGATAAGTTATTTTTCTGCGAAAAATTCGCAGAACTTTGGAGACATCATTAATATAAATATAATTTTTATGGCCGTTAAATAATAAATGGTTTTTAGTAGGTCCACTGCTTGTTTAAACTCAACGATTTGTGCAATATCCACTATTGGTCTAGATTTGACCAATCCTGTCGCGACACAAGTCAGCAATGACGTTTTACCGTATTATATGAGTCTCTGATCGCAATTTTTTTGCCATTTTATACGAATCTGTATTATATGAATTTGTGTTACAGGGGGTCTATTGTATCCCTTCTGAGTGGTACAGCTCAGAGAACCTTAATTTCATTTGCAACTTCTTATTTGTGTGAAGCTGAATTTGTCACAGTGATAAAAACTAAGTATTGCACAAAAATCAATGTGGAGAAGGAAATGAGGGTGGCTCTGTCCAGTTTGATTCCAATGTTTGAGAAAATGTGTTGTGATGAACAGTCTCATCCATTCCACTAATTATAATTAATTGAATTTGTTCAATTACATTTTTTTTTGTTACCTTAAATACTTGTTTTATTTATTTTTTATTTAACATCCTAACTCTTTAATTAAATTGTACTTGTTAGAATTTGACATAGGGTGCCTTGTCAAAATCTGAATTTAGCAAGGGTGCCGAGAATCAAAAAAGTTTGGGAACCACTGGATTAAGCTAATTTTGTGTGAGCAAAGACATAATGGCATGATTCTGTTCAGACTGATTTTAACACAAGACTGATTATTCAGAAGACAATTCTTAAAATGTAAAAATTTCAAAACTTTTTGTAAAAAAAAAAATCCAAAAAACTGTCTGTGGATAATGATTATTATTTGTTTGTACAAACCAATACCAAATCTGAAGAGGAGCCAAATAAGTGTTGGACTCAAAATGCATTATTAATAAAAGTAGTTTTTAAGAATTGTCTTCTGAGTAATCAGTCTGATAAGAACCATGTCCTTTTGTATCTTTTGCTCATACTATAATAACTTAATCATTACAATAAAATATTTAATACCAATTAGTCAATATAATACATGAACAAGTTATTTGAGTTTCTGTGATAATATAATAATTCTTTTGCTTTTTGTTTTGATAACAGTTAATTCAAAATATAATCTAATGAAATTTAGTGTGTTCAGTCATTTGAGTAAGTCATATAAATATTGTTAGCCATTTCTAAATGGAGATTTTTTTTATATGTAATTATAATAACTTAAAATACGAAATGCATGAAGTTGATTTCAAGTGTATTCAGGAGAAATAAATAAAAAACTGTCTTATTGCATTAAACTTGAAAGAATTTTATTAAATTCTTGAACACTAGCACTTTTAATGAAGCATAATCTTCATCATCAACATCAGGCTAAAGAATTCTGAATGAACTTTTTTTTTAATTAAGGATTTGAAATGAAACATTTACAAAAAATTTTCAAACTGGGGAAAAAATTAATTTAAATTTTTGTAAATGGCTCCATTTTGAACTCTGAAAAAATCTGTTGTATTCCATTCAGAATTCTTTTGCCTGAATATGCTTTGATGGAAATGCTAGTTTTAAGAATTTAATAAAAAATTTTCAAGTTTAATGTTGTAAGACAGTTTATTTATTTCTACTTGTACTAATTTATTTTCACTTTGATTTATTTTTTCTAACAGATTCTGCTATATCATCCTAATCAGATTTATAATCTTTATTGTACTCTTTTAACTTTTATTCTAGGATTTATAGTAAAATTTACCAATATTTTATTGATAACAAATCAATTACAGTAATTTATTTAAACAACAAAACAGTATGATTAATTCAATAAAACTTACTGCAATTTTAATTCTGGATTCATTTGAAAAACAATGCATTTTGTCAAAGATAAAATTAAATTGCAAATGAATATTCTAGTGCAATGTTTCCCAAACTTCTAGATAAAGTGGAGCCCTTAAGAAAATTTTTTTTATAGAGCCCTCACAACTCATCATCTTTTGCTACAAATTTGTACAATTGACAGAGAAAGAACAAAGCTCTAATGTATTAGTTTTTATCATTCAGTGAAATGCTAGTTATATGAGTGATAAGAGCAAATGGCAACTACCATGTTGAGGTATACTGCTGACTCAAATAAATAACTGCTTGCTTTAAAATAGTTAAATAATGCATTTGATTCATTGGGCTGCAATTTAAAAAATTGTAGACCTATGAAGTCCATCTGTCTGTCTCTCTCTTTCCTTGATGTTGAGAATGGAGTTAGATAGATGAAAAACTTAAAATATACTTCCGTAAGTGGTCTCCACTTATGGAAGCTACAGGGACAGGAGCTCCAATTAACTGTATAATAACTTCTGATGCAAATCGAAAGTCGTGTTATTTCAATTCAAAATTTTTCCCTTGAAAGGTGTTAGATAAATGACTGGCTCAACTCTGTTGTTAAAGGAAAAGTATGATGTACCGGGGCAAGTCACTACTAATTTGAAGTGGAGATGGAGAGCATATATTTTAATTTAAATAAATTAAAAATATGATTAAAAATTGCAGCCTGGCATTGTGACAATATCACAATAAATAATTGCTCATTAACTTTAAAAATGTTTTAAAGGCTTCATGGAGCCTTAGAATTTCAGTTGCAGAGCCCACTTTGAGAAATGCTGTTCTATTACATTCATGCATCACCTATCCATAAGGCATAAGGCTCCATCTCCATAAAAATTGAATTTTAAGTTGCACACTTGAAATTCAATTTGCCTAACAAAACGAAATCATTATGCCTAATTATTATGCTATTTCAATAATGCCCAATATTTTTCATGAAAAATGTTCTGTAATACTTCATTCCTCTTTGTTCTTGGTTTCTTCCTTTGACAAGTTTTTCTTGTGGCCCTTCATTGGTTTGATACAAATGCTCATTCCCTTCTTGTTTCTATTTGATTCATTCTAAAAAAGAAGCATTTGTTCTGTAATAATTTCAGAATATTTTCAGGCTGATCATTTCTTCCAAAATATTCTAAAATTAAATTTATATAGTCAAATTACTTTATTTCTATTGTTAAGTTAGCTTTGTTACAGCTTAGTAGATAATCAGCAGTTCATTTCGCATATCTAATTGAATCCAGTTGATTATGTTATTACATAAACAATTATATTATCATTGTGTGTGTTTGAAATAAACATTATTTGCTATTATGATGTAATATTTATGCACCTTTTAATCAGTTATTTTGCAGAATCTTTTTGTATATATATGATTAAATTTTATTTGAATGAAACAAAACAAAAAATATCAAAACACAATTTAATTGCAATTATTTTGTTGGTTGTTCAAAAAGACTTACCCATACAAAAATTTAGTTAAATTAATAAAATTATTAATATATTACAAATATCTGAATTTTTGTAATTTTTAAAAATCTTTTCGCAACATAACATAAAGTAGGAAAATAATTAAGTTTTGAATGTAATTTTTGGAAATATTAATGGAAATACTTGTATAGAGGTATTTTACAATTGAATATGAATGGTTTATCAATAAATTTATCATTTTCAGTTCTCAAAGTAGGAGCTGTATTTATTTAATTTTTGTAAAATTTTAAGGACAAGTATTTTTGTATCAAATAAATCTTTTTAACAATAGAAACTGAGGAGGAGTGAAGCCCAAAATGCATTATACATTTTGGGCTTCTCCACCTCTCATTCTTACTTAATCCTTTGATTTGGAGCATAAATTTTTTTGGCATTATGCCAGGAAATGTGTGCTTTAAATCAAAGAGTTAAATACAAATTGATTTTGCAAGTCTAGCATTGATGAATTGGATTGCAGATCTGGTATCTAATACTGTTCCACATAACACACTATTAAATATAGAATGGTTAAAAATAACATTAATTTTTCTTTTCAATTAGGAGAGCCAAACGTCAGTCTAAAGCGGCGGAAGAAAATTACTGGGATTGCAGCGTTTGTACCTATCGAAATTCTGCTGAAGCATTTAAATGCTTGATGTGTGATGTTCGTAAAGGCACATCTACCAGGTAGATTAGTTTTGAAAATAGTTTATATATATATATATATATATATATATATAACATAACATAAAATATATAATGTCTGAAAAATTTTAGGAAGCCAAGGTTTAGTCCTCAGCTCGTTGCTCAGCAAGTAGCGCAACAATACACACAGACTCAGCCAAAGCAAAAAATGGCATCTAAGCTCGACAAAGATCGAAAGTCTTCTCCAGACAAAGTGGCAAAGAAAGTCAGGTTAGTAAAAAAGTTCTAATATTTTCATAACTTTGTAAGTTATAAGAATAAGTTCTAATATTTTCATTAAAAATAAAATTAAAATTAAAATATCTGTATGGTATAGTTGTTAATCACTTTCTTAGCACTATGTATGAATTGTGCATAGTTCTAATTCATTCAGAACACTAAAATCAATATTTTGAAGTATGTGTGTAATAACATAAGCTGTGTTTTGATATACAGTACATAATATTCTTTCATTTGATATTGATTTAAAGAAACATTTGATATTTTAAATATTTATAACTACATACTCTGTTTATTACCCTAAGACAGGATGCAATTACTATAAATACTGTAGTATGTAAGATTTTTTTTTACCTTAATATGAAATTTTTTAAAATAGATTTTGAAGCACCAACAACTGCCATATTGCATTGGGCTATATAATGGCTATAATAATAATAATAAATGATTGCCATACAGGATCAGGTCATAAATACTAAAAACTACAGAAAACACATACTCAAATGACACATGCAAAAAATGTCACATCATGCCAGAAACTATACAACACATCACTTCTGGTTGCAAGCTCTTGGCACAGACAGATTATTTACACAGACACAATCAAGTAGCAAATATAATACACCAAGAGCTTGCAAAGAAACACAAACTGGTAGACATTCACGAACCATACTACAAATACATTCCACAGACAGTATTGAAAAACAACACGCATAAAATGTACTACGACAGAGCCATAATCACAGATAAAACAATTTACCACAACAGACCAGACATCACACTAATTGACAAACACAATAAAATCACATACATTACAAACATAGCCATTCCAAACACTCACAATATACAAAACACATGCACTGAAAAAATTAGCAAGTACACAGAACTCGTATTAAGAATGCAAAGAACATGCATTCTTAGTAGATAAGAAAAAATAAAGGATGTGCTGTTAGAGTATGCAAAATCTGCAAAATAATTTTAAAGGATATATATGGTCTTTAAGAACTTAAGATACTTGCAATTATTTGTCAACAGTTTAAACTTTTAAATAAAAAGAAAATGAAATACCTGTAAAAATATTTATAAAAAATTTGAACAATTAGAACCATGCATTGCACATGTCAAACTAGTGTGGTTTTACAGGTGCAATGTACTGAAGATGAAAAGATAAACAATAATTTCTGAGATTTGTAAACATGATAGTAAAACAGTTAATATTTATTAATTTTAACTCTGTTTTTTTTTTTTTCTTCATATAAGTAGACATGCTTTTATATTTACAGCTCCGCTTTCATTATATGAGGTAATATTAAGAGATTGTAATCTAACTTTTGACATTTTTGGATGATCTTTGTTAAAATAGAATGAATCATTGCATTGTTTGTTGTTTGTATTTTGAAAAATATTGCAATGGTTACAGTTTTAAGTTCAGTTGTGGACAATATATTGTTAATATGTATAAATATTAAAAACATTACATGATTTTTTTTAATCCAATAAAATTACACGAAATATAAACTATGCTCACATTCATTGATAAATTAATGGATATAGATTTATGCTAGAAACTTTCTTTGATAGAGTTATTAAAGATTTTTCATATATTTCTTTGTAAATTTCATTTGCAAATTTATTCTATATTAAAAGAAGGAAAGAATTTGTGAGTAAATACAGTTCTACTAAACCAGTGGTTCTCAACCGTGGGTACATGTACCCCTAGGGGTACGAGCGTAAATCGAAGGGGTACATCTAATTTTCATTATAAAATGGCGTATGTTAATCAATTTGCTGTAAATTATTAACACAAGAAACAACAAAAGACAAAAACTTGCTTTAAAATATCCCAATGTGAACACCGATTTACCTTTTAAAACAGTCTAAACAACTTGTTTATCCACTCGATTTGCCTGTCTATTTGTGCCGAGTGAACCTGTAGTCTAGTAACATTACAGTTTAACCGAGCATTAATTTTAGAATAGAAAAAAAAATTATTCTATTCTATAATTATTGCTCGATAACATTGGGGCTTTTCGTGTTTTTACTGGACTACTAGTATTAGGAATAATGAGGCCTGGACCGTACCCCCACCATGCAATGCGTGTCACTGCACGCGCGTATTACTTGATATTTAGCAAATTTAGACGTTACGCTTGTTACAAAAATTGAAAGATTCGCGTATTGTTCCGTACGTTATAAATTTGCAGCCATTACTTTCGAGGTCAGTACACAATTATAATCTCTATTTAACAATGTGGGAACCAAATTTTGAAAAAATTGCTGAAGATTTATCGCAACAAGTATCCCATTAAATTTTGTTAGAAATTATTGTAGAATAATTTAAACTTTCTTTATCGTTAATTATAATTATTTATTTTTAGGAAATGTAATTTATGCATGTATTGAAATGACTTCTATGATTTTATATAATAGACTTATCAAATAATAATAAATAAATGTATGTACCTGATTAAATTTATTATTATTTACGTAAAATAAGTACAGTCGACCCCCCTATAACATAATTGATTATTCCGTTTTATATGAATTCCATGTTGTACGAGTCACTTAGATTTTACAAATACGTGTGCCTGGCTGTGAACGGCTGTTGAACGGCTGTGACAAGTGTTGCGTTGTCATAATTTAACAAACATTAATTTAAGCATCATTGGACTAGTTATTTTTAACTCTTTCCGCCCTGTGAGCACTAAGAGGGCCTCTTTTTGCAAGCCCATTATGGGTTCGGCCAGGCCCACAATGGGGCTGCCGGGTGGTGAGG